TACTGCGTACTAGAGTAGATGACTCAGACGCAGACTTCCAGAGAGCTACTTAACTGAGTCATGGCTTAAAGTCATTCAAATATCCCCTTTAACGCTATCATTTCATAACTCTTTCTTACCCAGCTATGCATTCTGTAACTCTGTAACTCCTCAAAATGATGTTTAATTAATTTCTGTTAAGATTAATTTGATTAGTAGAGCAATTAAAATGTTTGTTTATTATTTATTTTATGTGCTGTCTACAAATATTTTTATACCCTGAACCCATTTTCAATGGGAAATCAGGGTATAATGGTTTTGTTGAAATGTATGTAACAGGCAGAAGGAGGCGTGGCAGACCCCATAAAGTATATATATTCTTGATCAGGGCGACGAGCTGAGTTGATTTGGCCCTGTCCGTCTGTCTGTCCGTCTGTCCGTCTGTCCGTATGTATGAACGCGTCGATTTCAGAAGATATAAGAGCTAGAGACTTCAAATTTTTTTTAAAATGTCCGTAATTACAGCGCGCATATCAAGTTTATCATTAAAAATCGATAACTCATCTCGATCTTTTTTTATCGATAAAAAACCTTATCGAAACCCAGTTATAAAATTATATCTTCTACACCTTTATTGCTAGAGTCTCCAAATTTTTAATGTATGCTTATATGCAATTTATACAATTTCGGTTTTTGTTAAAATTTACCCCCCACCTCTAAATTCACCCCCTCACCATCACTTTTGTAAAAAGCGTATTTCAAATACTAGAGACTTGTGCTTTGGCAATTACATGCATATTCATGTTATAATCATAATTTCATGAAGATCGTACGTCCATAAAAAAAGTTATTAAACAATTAAATTCTCATAGTAAGCGCACACTGCAGCCCATGCGTGTTTATGCGTGGTTGCTTGTGTGTGTATGTGTTTGTGTATGTGTGTGTGTATGTGTGTGTGTGTATGCGTTTGTGTATGTATGCGTGTGTGTGTGTGTATGCCTGTGTTTGCGTACGTGCGTGTGTGTGTGTGCGTGTTTCTTGTGTAAGCTGAAAGTCGCGAAAAAGTATTGAAATATCTATTGCTCCAAGGGTTCAGGGGATCTCGTAGTCGAGCAGTCTCGACTAGAGCTTTCTTACTTGTTTCAAATACAAAATGTAAAAAAAATAAAAAATTTTAATTACTCTACTATGCCTATACAGTTAGCAAACTCCACAAGTTTTTAATGATATATCGGCAACATATTTGAGACTTGAAAACTCATCAAAGTTAAAGTTGTCTGCTATCACAGTCAACTTGTGTACATATCGAAATAAATTTTGAAATATTCCCCGCAGGTCTAGACATGCAATAAAAACGAACTACCTCAAGGCATTTCATGGATACTTTTGATGGGTCAATAGCGAAATTCACCAGAAATGGTCAAACAGCATCAAATTTCCAGCCATTATTATTGGCTTTGTTTGGCTGTTTGTTGATTCAGCGCCGACGTCTGAAAGACTTCAACTGACACACCTAAAGTAAAAATCAAATAAATTATTGCAATCTCTTTGGGCACAGCGCCCACAGAAATCAAAGAAAATGTATCGAAGGCGAGTGAGTGAGTGAGAGAGAGAGAGAGAGAGAGAGAGAGAGAGAGAGAGAGAGAGAGAGAGAGAGAGAGAGAGAGAGAGCGAGAGAGAGAGAGGGAATAACTTTATTTTGTTATTATTTATCTAATGACTGCGCCATTGGGCATACAAATATATATCTCGACTGGCGCACGCCCCGACATCAGCTCCATCAAGCCTAAGCCTCTGTCTGTTGCCTTCAAGTGTTTACGATATTTTGATTTTATTTCATTTCAGCAAAGTGCGAAGTGCGAAAAGGGCAAAAGTTTTTTGTACGGATACGACGACAACTCACACTACTATTTATGTGAGATGCCATTTTGTCATACATGAGACACACGCACTAGTTTAGCCTCGGTCCCCCCCGTAATGTCATGGCCTTAACATGCTCCCATTTGGCTTGGGCTGGCGTAATAAAAACGCCTCGACTGCCATTTTTGGGCGCAAAACTTTTCTCTTATTAAGATTAAAAATGAGCGAAACGCAGCTTGGCCTTTGCTAGGGCCTCCTCCTGGGAGGGAGAGGAGCAGGAGCAGGAGCAGCAGCAGCAGCAGCCCGCAGCTCTGTAGGCACTTTTGGCGGCCTGCTGATAAGCACAGCTAGCACACACACACACACACACACCAGCTAAGTGACATGCGAAGTCGTATTCAAGTGGGTGTCACGCATAAATTTCATAAATATAAGCATCATTATTTCTGTTCGCCATTTTGCGGCCAGCATCGCGACTTAGCGCCGCAGTCTTCCACTTCGCTCTCCAGCTCTGCCCTCTAAGGCATGTGGTAGTGCGAGGCTTTAGTCACGTGCCAAACTTTTGCCATCACACACAACAACACACACACACACAAATGGAATGCCACGCTCAATCTCATCTAAATGGCGCAATTGTGTTTCACACACATGAAATTACGCTTTGAGTACGAAAGCTGCAGAAAGCTGGCTGCGTGCCAATAAGCCAAGACACAGCAACCCTCATAGATACCAGAAAAAGAAAATAACATGGCCATAGTTTCTATAAAAGAAATGCTCAATTATCAATATAAATCTATAAATAGTCATAGGCTTTGCACGATTGCTTCTGCAAGAATAGAAATACTTAGGCGTAGACTAAATCGTTGATAATTTAATAGTTAAGACTGTCTGCAAGGGAAAAACTTATTTTTGCCAAGACTTTAATAACACTATTTACTATTTCAATGATTCATATAAATTGTTGTACTTATATATGTATGTGAATAAAATATATACAGTCGAGTCTTGATAATTCGTACCCCGCTATATCGAAAATCGCGATAAGTCCAAATAAAAAATTCTATATCCTTGAAAGAAATTCGTTCTCAATAATTCCCAATAATTCGAATTTCTTTATAAATCGAAAAAGAACTGATCCCCTTGCCATTTCGAATTGTCGGGATTCTACAGTATATTTAACAATCATATTGCGTGGTATTGTCAGATTCTTACTGATCTTAATAAATCTGTTTTCGTTGTTCTGTATACGCGATATTTTTTATATATAACACATTTACTTCGCATTTACATATTCCTTGAATTTATTCTGGCAACACTTTATTCAGAGTCAATACTATGGATAAATATGCCTTATTTGCTATGAAGCGTAGCCCTGGTCTATATCAAGTACATTCTCTTTCTTCGTCTTTGCTCTTGTTTTGCCCATTCACCTAGCTTACATCAGATATTTACCAAAGATTAAACATAAATCATGGCTGATATAAATATATACATATACATATATGCGCTCACATATATTTAGGCTACAGAATAGATGGCAAGCAGGCGGAACGTAATCCTTTAGCGCCACGGAACAAAGTTGATTGCCCCCTGATGGGGCGCAGTGGCGCTGTCATGGGCACGGCCGCTGACAAAGTGACATCAATCAATGTGCGTTGGGCACGCCCCGCAGAGCAGCGCCAGCACCGCCCATCAAGTGTTATCAGCCAGCATGCGAGCTGCTCGTTAGGTTGACGAAGTCTTTGGCTCTGACGTTGTTTAGTGCACGTGGCGTATGAGCGTTGGCAATGGCAATGGCAATGGCAATCGCAATTGATTGACGACAATGAGCAGAAAGTAAATCAATTATCGTCGACTGGCAACTGAATGGGACAGAGATACACAAACACACACGCACACACAGGCACACACACACAGATGTAGGCTGACAAATTGGTGTTGTTGTTTGGCAGTTGGCGCATTTAAAAGTTTTAGACACAAAGGAATTTGATTTTCTTATACTGTCAATGCTGAGAGTGTGTTTATGCGTGTGTGTGTGTGTGTTTGTTTGTATCTTAAGCAAAACACAATAAATTCGCTGCGAGTATCTCGGCCATACATCAAATTGCTGACTCAGTGTAAACACATAATTTTTTGTAAAGGCAAAAAACTCTTCACTAAACAGAGATCAATATGCTAGATAAGCAACAGCGACTCTGCTTCGTCCTCTCTTGTTTTTTATGGCCCTTTACAGTGGACTTTCTCATAGATTTATTTTCGCTCTACAAAACTGTGCAATAAATATGCAAATTTGTTGCCAGACAGCAAATAGCAAAAGGGTCGCTCCGGCATTGCATCGAGAGGCAGCTCATAAAAATGCATTAAACGACAAATCGTGCAGCAGTTAAAGATCCGAACAAGTGGTCATCCAACCTGGCAACTTGTAACTGGCAAATGGCAAATGGCAAACTTGGAACGGGCTGCAAATCACTTAAAGTTGAAGCCAGTGCAAATCCTTTGCGGAAAACTCATTAGTTTCGAGCATTCGCGTTCGCTTGCAACTTTTTGTTGCAGCTGTGGCAGCTGCGGCTTCTCCAATGCGTACGCAATAAGATGCTGAACACCAAAAACTTTGGCACAGTCAAACTTGTCTACAATGAACTTCCCATAATGAACTTTCCTGTGTGACGAACAACCTTATTAGGCAGCATTTGCCTGCGCCGCAAAAACTTTGTAATAACTTGGCGGGAATCTGTTTTTGCGCCAAGCAAACATAAATGAAAAACTTGTCAAGTGTTTCGAGGCCTATCTGATGGCACAAAACCTCTGAACTATGTCCTATGACAAAAGTCATGAACGACATGAACTTTTAGTAATACAATTATATTGTTATGCTAGTTCTCTTGAGCAGTTTCGTAGCTTTGTGTTTTATGCATATAATATAATTTATATTAGTTACACATTTTAGCGGATTTTTATAAACGAATTCTTTATTGACATGATTTCCTTAGGAAACAACTTGGCTTTGGAAAATAAATGGTGCAAATGTCATTCAAGATAATATTTTAAATTGGACTCTTGATTTGAAATTAAAGTGCAAAATATAGTTAATCAAAATATAGTTAATAATAATAAAAAAAAGTAATAAAAATTTATTAGATTTTTTTTTTATAATTTAAAAGGTTACATGGTCATGGCAACGCCTTAGCACTGGGACTTTTAGAGAACTCAAATGACAGTCCACGACGCAAATAAATAAAAAAATAAAAATAAAAAAAAAAATAATAATAATAATAATTTAAAATAGTTAAGAAAAAAAATATTAAATCTATAAGCAATACATAAAATCTTTAATATCTATAAAAAATATTATTTACAGATCTATTGTAAAAAAAGGTAAGATAAAGGTATAAATTTATTATTTTAAAATATATTTTAGAGCAAAAAAAAAAATTTAAAAAAATATTGATGAAAAATGTTTAGTTAAAATGTAAATTGTAAATGTATTATTTAAAAGTAATATTAACAGATATATGAATATATTACTTAAAGTTTGTAAATATATTGATTATAATTATTAAATAATAAATAAATAATATAATTAAAAATATTTTATTTGCAAATAGAATTTTAAGTTCTTCATAGTCTTCCATCTCCTCTCTAAAATTAATTATAGTAAAAGCATAACATTATGCTGTACAACACACAAATAATTTCCATCGAAACTCAGTCCAGGCAGTTTCTGTAGCTCTGAAGTTCTTTTGTGAGCCTTGTCAGGCACGAACTTGTGTCAAAGCAAATTGCATTGATTGACAATTTTTACATTTTGCGTGCTGTTGTCCACTTGAATGGGGTCCATTCAAGTTGTTATCGGACAGCAGTTTTTACTGTAGCCGAGCAATGAAAGAGATTGAGAGAGCGCACACTAATGGCACATGCCCGCAGCACAAATACCCATTGTCCTCTGCTCGCTTATGGGATAACGAAAATGATGCGAGGTGTTGTCAGTTTATTGCCTTTAACTAAACGAAACTTTTATTATTTTATTGGATTCTTTTTATGGGCGATGGGACGAAGAGGGGGCGGGAGAGCGGAGAGAAACAAGGGCTGGAGTGAAACGTGCTGCGGCATGCCAGGCACAGATACTGCGACAAAGAATTTGTCTTGAGGACATGCCATCATTGGGCCAATGATTACATTATGCGATAATGTTGCCCATAAAGGCTGCAGTAGCATAAAGGATAAACTAAAACGGGTCGGGGGTCGCGGCTCAGGAGTCGAGAGTCGTGAACCAGGAGAGGGGGGTCAGAGTATCAGAGGGTTCGCTCGGTTATCCTGCGCTCGCTATAATAAGCTGTAAAAGTGACACATACATTTGACCTGATTTTGCGAGCACATTCTTTACGCGTCCTTCGCCACGCCACGCTATGCCACGCCCCGCCCCGCCTCTCCATGCCGCCTCCTGCCACTACCACTTGTGTGCACGTCGCTGCTTGGCTGGCTTAATCCAAGTTTAAAATTATAAACTAACGATCCACCAAAGCACGCACACACATACACACCCACACGTACTCGAAGTGGGGCGTGGCAAGTGGAGGCGCCACAGAGCAAGGATTAAGTTTGGCGCACTGAACCGTGCGTGAACTAATGCGGGATCCTGTGCATTCGTCCTTGCATGCGCTACAATCACATCCAGCGCATGCTTGTGTGTGTGTTGTCGGTTCGCTGTGCATGTGTGGGAGCAGTTAGCAAGGTCCATTCAGTTGTCGCGCCTTAGTTAGCTGATGGCAAAACAAAACAACAGCGAAAAAGGAGAGCAAAGGAGAGGAGAGGGAGAGAGAGAGAGAGAGAGAGAGCAAGAAAAATGCAACCGACGCACACGTATGAAATGTGCAACAGCATTGCAATTAAACCGAGTGGAGGAGCAGGAGGCACTGCATTGAAATCTAGAGAGAGAGAGAGAGAAAGAGACAGTGAGAGCGAGACAGCTTAAAGGAAGCAGCAGCAAAAGTATCTCGCTAAGCTTATTGTCATGTCGCAGGAGTAACTCACGAATGAAAGCGACAAATGTACGCTGACAATTTACAGTGGAGTGTGGGTAGAGTGGGGGGGAAGGGGGTTGTCTAAAGAGATTTTATCAATCCCACAACTATGTCTAATTAATCCCAGCGTCAAACTACTACTCTCTAAGCAACCCTCGCCGATTCCAAATTTCATTTACTCTTTTTAATTAGTGTGCGCGATATGTGACAATGCGAAGTTAGTTTTTATTGATTGGCTTAGCTGCTAATTGAATGAATGTGCTCAACCCCATTCGCTGCATTGCAGAAATAGTTAATTTTAAATAAAGTTAAAGCTATTTGAATCACATATTGTGGGATAATGCTAGCTAATGCAGTACTCTATCTCTTTCTATCTCTTTATCTCTTCTGTATAAGTACGACTTTCCCTTTACTCTATTCTTAGCTACGATCTATAAAGCTACAAATCTATTCAAAGTTCAAACTCCTCAGGTTTGTATAGCTTTTTCATAGATAATTCTCATATTTTATATATAGCATTTATCAAAAATCTCAAAAAGGCTTAAAATGGTAATTAAAATTTGCAAAAATTATATTTAAAATGTATTTAAAAGTTTCATTTTTCATTTTCTCGTTGATTCTTATTTAAAAAAAAAAATAAAATAAAAAATAAATAAATAAAAATAAAAATAAAATAAAAGAAAAAATAATAAATAAATAAATGAAATAAATATAAAAAAAAAATATTTAAAAAAAAATTAAAAAAATAAAATAAAATAAATAATAAAAAACAAAAATACAAAACAAGAAAAAATCTTCTTCAAAGAGATACTTTCCTCTCGCTTTCGCGCCTAACACAATGTATTCGACCTGCCCTCGCGTTTGCCCCCACCCGCATCCTCGCTCTCACCCTCACTCATTGTCATCCAGCTCGTTTGTCCGCGTCTCTGAAAAAATTGCCGCCAGCTCTGTTGATAATACGAAACGCTAATTAAATTTATAAAAATTAATTTACGAGGCGCGCCGAGACAATTTGTAAGATTCTCTTGCCAGCGGCAATGGGAAAGAAATGTAGTGAAAAAAAAAAAAAAAACAAGAGAACAAAATATGAAAAAGCAAATAATAAAAAAAATAAGAATAAAAAAAATAAAAATAAAAAAAATGTGAAGCTTGCAATAAACTGAACTGACTTAATTAGCAAGCGTCGCTGCTGCTGCTGCTGCTGCGTTTGGATGTCTATATAGAACAGAGAAATTAAAACACAGCTCTGTGCGCATTCACCCTCCACCTCATAGCTCATCATCATTCGCTCAAGCCAGCGAAAAGTTGGCCCAAACTCATGAAAAAGTTTCGTGCAGCAGAGATTGCAGCTTGAAGGCGGCAGCTCGCCTTAAATGTTGAACTTGTTGGACGCAGCGCAGCTGCTTGACAATAATTTGAACGTGTCTCAAGTTGATCATTAGCATATTTCATAGGCAAACAACAAAAAGAAAGCCCCACCGTCAGCTGGGGGTTGTCGGTGGAGGGGGGGTGGGGGAGGCGTTGCTTAGGAATTGGCGCAGGGACATATTTTGCCTATTGCCTGTCAAGTAAGTAGACAACGCATTAGACTGCAGGAGCAGCTAAAGGCTATGCAGATGCAGATGCAGAGAAAGAGAGAGGGAGGGTGAGAGTGAGGGAGAGGGACCGACCAAGTGCGGGTTATATATGCAGAGCTGAACTCCTTTGCCTCTTAGCCAGCTGCTGTTTACACATCGACGTCTTTGACGCGCCCGAAAATGCGCTCAGCCGTGTGACCCATTTAGCCAAGTCTCCAACTGGCTCTAAAAAAGGAAAATGCAAAGAAAAACAGCAGCAAAAAAAAAAAAAATGTGAAAAATTATGAGCTGCAACTTTTGTTGCATATGCATGAGGCACGGCGGATGCTGCCGTTGCCGTTGCCGTTGCCTTTGCACCCCACTATGGGGAAAAATCCAAATTATCGGGTATTAATTAATAACTTAAAAACTAAGCCAGATTTTTTGATCCGGTTTTTGTATTATTAATATGTATACCATCAGAAATATATTTTAGAAAAATGGGCGTGTCACCGCCCACCCAAAAAAAATTTATTAAAATTTTGTATTAAAAATTTTTTTTTTTTTTTAAGAATTTTGCTTGTTCATACTTTAAAATAATAATTTTAATTGAAAACAATCGAACTTTCATAAAATCGAAATTAGTTTTCTTCAGTTTCGAGTTCCAAATCAGCCAGAAATATTGATCCGCTAAAAAAATTCGGGTTCTTCAACTGATTTAATTGTGCCTTCAACTTTACATAATACAATACGTACAACTTCATTAGACAGCGACCTTTATGCTTTCAAACTCTTTTCTAAAGATTTGCCGAAGAAATAATCTGATCAGATGTATCCATTGTTAAAAACCATCAGCGAAATTATGGATTCTGCTCTCATGCTCTCATGCATGATGAAATTAGTCTGATTTATAGACCTGGTTGGGCAAATCAGACGCTTCCCTTACCAAAAAAGCCTACAGGATGAACAGTACTTTCCATAATCTGCCTCAAATGAACAATTATTTTTATAAACATTTGCTGTCATAGGCAGTCATTCATAGTTGTCAGCTAGTTTTTTGTTCCTGCTGCATTTCTTCCATTTGTAATTTATATTTTGGCAAAAAAAGCGGCTTTTGCTTTTTTAATATCATTTATAAGTTGAATCAATATTAGTCTTATTTAGTTTCAAAATCACAATTACTATTTCTTGGTTAGAGTTGCCTTTTTCATTGAGCCAAATATCACACAGGTCAGCTCATAGTCACCTGCTAAAAATTGATTTGCGCCGGTTGTGCGCAAAAGTGCACATTGAGACAAAGGCACTAAGATCCCAATTGATTACTCTATAACATGCAATTGGAATTACACTGGTGCGCCCTGGTGGCTGTTTTATATGTCTTTGCAAAGTTTAATTTTATTTACAAGAAATGAAATTTGACAACATTTGCTAATTATACAATAAATGATTAAAATAAGTTCAAACATCAATTGGTTTTTAAGCCAACGCATAGTAGAAGCCCTAAAAATTCATATCCTTTTTAAATTTCTCAAAAATAATGTCTGGTCATTGAATAACGATGATTTGAAAATCGGCTAACACAAATTGTAAGCTGAAGGCAAATGCTTTTCGAAGATAACAGCTGACTTTAACAGCTGTTAGGCTTAACAGTGGACTGTTATTCAACATTTTGGGTACAGTACCTTAAAGTT